GGCCAGCAGCGTGGCCAGCCGCTCCGTCAGCAGCCGACCGGCCGCCGCCTGCAGCTCAGTGAAGTGCCGCCGCAGCGCCTCACGGGCCTGACCCGAGCTGCCCCGCACCTGAAGGGCAGAGGAAACAAAGATAAAGGATTACTACACTTACTGATTATTTTAAAGAGTGTATAAAAGTTCATCAAACTGCCGTAAATGATTCTTTGTCAGTATACTATGATAAATGATGGTTTAGGATGTTTAGCCTAGTAGGATAGTTAGTAGGCTAATTTACCACCACCGAGTAAAAAGGTAAAAAGATTGTTAGCTGGTATGAAACTTCATGATTTGGCTTCACATTCATATTTTGTTAAACCTAGAGATCAAAGCCGGTAATAAAACTCATTTAAAGAGGACATTCTGCTCATTTTCAGCTTCATATTTGTATTTAGTGCCTCTACCGCAACATGTTTACATACTTTATTGTTCAAAAAGGTCTTTTTTTTTCTCATACAGCCCAGTCTGCTCTGATTGGTTAGCTGGCAGGCTCTGTTGTGGTTGATCAACTGCTAAGAGATATCCCGCCCCTTAACCTATACAAGATGTCAGAGTACATGCCGATAAAAGTGCAAATTTTACATAGTGATGTCACTATATTCTAAAAGTAAACAAAGGAGTCCAATGGAGCCGTTTCAGGAGGGGGGGAGGGGGGGAGAGAGAGAAACTCCCTCTGGATGGAACATTGGGATTTTAGCCTTTGCAGACCATAAACATGAACAAAAACCTATATAATACACTACAGGAAAGGGAAACCCCCAAAAAGCACAATAGGGCCATTCTAAATCGGATCATGTGAGTGTCTTTGGAACACATTTACTCTTATTGACAGCTAAAGACAGCTTCTATTTGATCATTATGAGCATCACCTGCTCGATGAGCAGGTGATGCTGCGTGTGACCTGGTGTGTGTGTGTGTGTGTGTGTGTGTGTGTGTGTGTGTGTGTGTGTGTGTGTGTGTGTGTGTGTGTGTGTGTGTGTGTGTGTGTGTGTGTGTGTGTGTGCGTGCAAGTGATGTTTCCTGGATTCATTTATGTTTGAGTAGTATTGCACCTCTAAGAACTTCGTAGGTCCAAATCATACAATATATTAAATCAATAAACTGTAGCGTCACTACAGCCATTTGCCCATCCCTGGTCTAAGTGAATGGGAGTTGTAAAACCTACGCTGCGAATGCTCAGTCTTTTTCTATTCAATGTGTGCGCCAACAAAATAATCACCATAGGCCAGGGATGGGCAACTTGGATGGTGGTGGGGGCCACATAATTGATGTACTGGCCACAAGGGAGCCACAGATTCACTTGGAACACACACACACACAAATTCCAAGTATTGTATGTAATTATTAACAAATATACTAAGTCTGACATCTTCATTGACATTTTACAATCTTTCAGGAAACATTCTCTAATAAGCTCACTAAACAAATATCAGTTCACAGAAATGTTATTTCATTCTTACAAGTGGCATGTTTGTATTTAACAGGTTATTAAACAGTGGAATAAAACTATTTTAAACAATTGGAAAACACGGAAATTGTGTGTGCATTAAGATGAACCATTAAGATGACATAAACATGAAGTCATGAACACTAACCCAGACATTAGTTGTCTAACTTGAACCTAAGACACTTGTGGCCTGTCTCTGCATTCCCCTTATTCCACAATAAGGGGAATGTCAACACAGACACCTGTCAACTCACACTCTGCTGTTCCTCAGCGCCGCTCCCCCTCCCTCCTGCTGAAATTATGAATGAAAAGCGTATAGTAATCATAGATAACACGGCAGGGTCCGTGACAGTTTGTTTTCATCTGATTTCAAACAAAGTCTTGGTTATAAGAATATTAAACTTGTTTCGCCAAATTCAGATGATAAATACAACTTTTAAGCTTGTAAAGGCATAATTACAAGCGGTAACTTAACGTCACAGCAGGCATAACAACAGCCGGTGTTTCTTGTGAGGGTTTCCCCGGGAAACAAACACAAGACACACAAACGCATCACAGATGATTTCGTTATTTGAAACCATGTACGCAGCTTGCGACGTAACTAGGATTTTAGTGGACGGTATCAGTACTACAAGTTAAACAAAATTAAATACATTTTTTTTAATCAATTACGTTGTTTATAAATTAATCTGAGGGCCGCAAAAAGAGGAGGTGGTGTTTACTGTAAACTGTGATGATGTTCAAAATGTTTTTGACTCAAAAGGACAGAAAATTGGCCCCCAGGCAGCCATTTGCCCATCCCTGCCATCGGGGTACTGTGCTGACATACCCACCAAACGTTATCTCACATAATTCAGAGGTGATTGGCTGTAAGTACGTGTGCCACAGAGTGTAGTGTGTGAAGAGGAGACGAGAGAGGTGCAGTGACGCATCCTAAAGTCCCTGCGCATGGGTTCCCTCCACAAAAAAGCAATGAGATTTCTCCATAGGATTTTAGAAAATAGCTCAAAATAAGATTTGTGGGAAACGTACCTGTTTGATAAATGCACGTTTTGTTCAGCCGGATAATATCCACATGTCTACCCTACTTTTATAATTTTCGAATCACAAATCTATCGATTAGATTTATGATAGATTTTTGAAACTACAAGAAGATAAGGAGGACTTTTACAAAAAAAAGTAATAGAGATTTTTGTCCAGACGGATAGCATGGACTTCATCTTCAAGTCAAGGTAAGACTGCCATTTTATTGAAAATTAGATCTTACTAAAAGAGAACAATTCAATATTTAAATGATAAAATTACATTTTTTGGGTATCCTTTTGTTGAACTGTCTGTTTAAGGAATTTAATCNCAATTTGATCTGGGGCAGAATTAATAAGTGCATCTATTTATTGTTCAGTTTTTAAGTTTTTTTTATTTTATTTATTTGGGGTCACATTATAGTAGAAGTACAGTTTTTCAAATCATATATTTTTAGAGACCCGAAAGTGAACAAAATTAGTCAAAATAAAATAAAAAGGTACACAGGGGTTGTTTGAAATAGCAAATGTCTACGCATGTACATTTCAACATACATTCAATACACATACATGTGACCATACATACACATCTATACATATACATTCAATCGGTTATAGAAACACAGTCAAACAAGGGATGGTCGTCTTTGGGATATGTAAATTCTCCACTTTTTCCATACTTCTTCAAATGTGTTTTCCTGAGAAGGTCATTCTTTCCATAACATACATTTCATGGATGTTGCCGTAGCAGTTGTCAAGAGAAGGGATATCCATTTTGAGCCATTTTATGTCGTATCCCAACCTTTTTTTGCCCCAGCGATGACCATTTTCGTATTTTCCAATATTTCATTTAATTTAATTTGTATTTGTCCCGCAAAACCAAATGTACAATAATTGCCACAAAATATGACTCTACCATTGAGCGAAAACGAGCAGGGAGAAGAATAAAATCTTATGTGACCTGCCCCTTTCTAAAAAAACAAAATAAATACAAATAGATGGTCTGCCCTTCATAATAATATATATATATATTTTTTTTTCACAGCCAAACATAACAGTATTTTAGGATACTAAGAGAACACAAAAAAAATACTTATTTCCCACTTGACGGTTAACGGAAAGAAACAAAACAACACCAAAACATCACATGTATAAGGAAAAGAAAAAGAAAAGTGCAACACCCTCATCTGAGTCATACTCAGTGATGCAAACACAGGTATGGTGAAAAAAGAGAGAACTATTCGAAGCAGAAAAAAAACAGCGTAATATACCATCTGACAATGACAGATTTTTCTTTTTGGATATTTTACAAATCACTCCCCTTTCAAACTCTATTCTTGTTATTTTTAACAACTTTTTTTGTTACTGTCATATAGTATTTTATACCTGTTAATAATTGAGTCTCTAATGTCTCATTAATAACTATAATGATCGTATCAAGGTGTGCCTTAACCTCACTGAGCTGAGGTTATTTGAGCCTCTCAGGAGAGAGCTCTCTTCCACCTGGTTGTAGAAAAGCTCTTTAAATTCGTTAGCATAGCTAGCTAACCAGATGCTAATAACAAAAGATTGCCACTGTGCTTACAACTAAAGACACAGCCACACAAACACTGCGGCATGTGTACGGCTCCTTATGGGTACTGCAATATTTGAAGAGTTGGAGCGGCGTTCCGGTGCCCTCCGTAAGCACTCAAGTCTAGTCTACACTCCTTTCAGACGAGACATAACCACGTGAAGACACGTTACGCTCGTGTTGTGTTCAAGGAACCTGTCCTTGGCCAGGAAAAACAGGCACTCGCTTGTTTAATTATTTTGCGATCTAGATTTCTTCTTCTTTTTTGTAGTGAGAAGTTGTCCGTCAGTCGGACGGCCTAATGGACGGACTAACGGACGGACTGACG